TGTCTTGAAGCAAGATTTTTGCTGCTGCAACTATAAAAGGTGCTAACCAACCAAGTGGATCAAAGATTTTCGAAATAGAAGATAAAATTATTCTTTTAGTAGAACACTCTCTGTTTTCGAGATTTCCAAAGTGGCAAGTAAACTCGTCTTGCGTTGGATACCACTCCAAACCCAATAATTTTATTGATTTAGTATCAACTACTGCACATGAAGAAGAATTTGAGTTCCGAGCACTCAAAGCAGTTTCCAAAATCGAGCGATCATTAGTACACCATTTATGCAATTGAAAGCCACCTTTTTGTAAAAGTTCACTCAGTTGTGAAATTAACTCTACTGCGTTTTCTACTGTGTCTGAACCAAATAGGACATCATCAATATAACAATTGTGTAATATTATTTCAGCTGCCTTTGGGAATTTAGTTCCTTCGTCAATTGTTAGTTGTTTGAGTAAGCGAGTAGCCAGGTATGAAGCGGAAGTAGTGCCGTACGTAACTGTGCACAACCTGTAAGTTTTAATCGGCTTCGATGGATCATCTCTCCAAAATATTTTTTGGTAATCGCGATCTTCATCATGAATTTGAACTTGTCGATACATTTTCAATAAGTCACTAGTAATGGCTATGGGATAGCATCTAAACCTCAAAAGAATAGTAAATAAGTCGTCTTGTACCTTGGGACCATTCATTAGCGTGTCATTAAGCGATATCCCTGATGTAGTTTTGGCACTAGCATTGAAAACGACGCGTAATTTGTGGTAAGACTGGATTCTTTTAGCACGTGATGATGATGAGGTATATAATAACGAAAATTTACTTTATCTGGATTATCATCGGATAATTCTTCCATGTGTCCAAGTGATAAATATTCGGACATGAAGTCTTTATACTGTTGATATACTTCAGGAGTTTTTTTTAATTTTTGTTCCAGACTAAGAAAACTTGCGAAAGGCTGATGGTCTGGAATTACCCAACTCATTTCTTTTAGGCTTGAATGGCAGTTTTACTGAGTAACGACCCTTTTCACTACGCACGTGATTTTCCACGAAATGATTTTCACACAATCTTTCCTCTTTAGTTAAAGGTTTCGATGTGGGAATTTGTTCCAAATCCCAAAATGATTTAACTAATTCCTCCGTGTTTACGTTTAGCGTATTGACTGAAACCTTGCTTACGGTTTTGGGAATTCAAAATGTGTAGTTCCAGCAATTAACTGTTACCATCCTAACTTAGAACAAAATGCAAATGGAAGATTTTTGCCCCTTTTAATTACCTCTCCATTTATTAAAGTAAGGAATACATTAACTCCAAGTAAAATATCAATTTCTCCCGATTCATGAAATGTAGGATCTGCTAAAGTTAAATCCTGGAAATTTTCATATAAATTCAAAGGTAATGTTACACTTGGAATGTTTCCTGTAATTTTGTCTTATTATGTAAGCGGAACGTTGAAATTCTGTAATTAGTATTAAAATGAGGTGTAAACAACAAGTCAACTTCTCCAGTAGTAGTTGTATTGAAAGTACCTAAGCATGACACTAATAATCTTCGAATCCTTTATGCTCAATCCTAAATTGATTAGCTGTTTTCCGGACGAATGAATGATTTTTCACTACCTGAATCTAGTAAACATCTACAATTTATGAATTCATTTTTTGAGTTTTTGAACCTTAATTAAAGCAGTACACAAAAAGTACATGACTACGTTTACCATTAGCATGAGCACCAAAATGTTGATTTTCATAGTTGTTTGCACAAACAGTTGGAGAACCCTCACTCAAGTTGTTTTCTGGTTTAATTTGCGATTTCGGAACAAACACTTGTGCTTCCGGTGAAGGGAATCTAGATGCATTTTTTGGTTTGAAATTATTTTCTAAATGCAAAATGCTATGATGATGCTTAAAACAATGCTTGCAGGTGTTTGCACTCTTACACATTTTAACTTTATGGACATTAGACAAGCAATTAAAACAAAGTTTATTAGTCTTAACAAACTCTATTCGTTTTCGCACTGATAAATTTAAAAAATTAGAACACCTGTATAAAAAATGATCTTCTTTACAAAATAAGCAGGTAGAATTAGTAATCAGAGAAGTAACCCTATTATACACTGGTTTATCTGATTTATGCGTTTTACTAACTAAAGGTTTACTGTTCTGTAATGTTCTAGCGTAATTCTTCAAAAATTCTATCAAGTCATTCAACTTTGGTATTTCATCTTTTTTTAATTGACGCTCCCACCACAACTTTGTCGAAACGTCAAGTTTTTGCAACATAATATACAACAACAAAGTATCACTAAAATTATCTATCCTTTGATCTAATATTTCCAATGAGCGAGTTATTTCGTTTACGTTATCTACTAAACTTAATATCGAGGATGCAGATTCCTTTTGTATTTGTGAAACGTTAAGAATTCTTTTAATAAAAGCAAATATCTGTTCTCTCTTATTAGAAAATCTCTGTTCTAGTAAATTCCAAGCAGTACTGAAATTTTGATCAGCTATGGGAATTGACTGAATAATGCGATAAGCATCATTTTTCAAAGAACTCTTTAAATATTGTAATTTTTGAGCTCCAGAAAGATTTGAATTGTTGCGAACACTAGCGTTAAATAAATCTTTAAATGTTATCCATTCAGTTAAATTTCCGCTAAATGTGGGTAAAGATAATTTCGGTAACTTTAAACTTTCAGAGATTGATTCAGGTATGACAGGTTTGTCGCCATTTGCATTTACTACCTTGTAAATCTTTAACTTACGAATAATTTTTAAGTGAACCTCCTCAATTTTCTCTAAAATCGACTGTTCTTCGTCAACGAAAGTGTCTATTTTTTCATCATCACAATTTGTATAAATTTCTCTAAATAGAGATTTAAAATCTTCCTTAAAAATTTTACATTTTTCTAAGATTAATTCAGCTTCAGCATTATCTAAGTTATCATAATCTATTCTCTCAATGAATTTAGTTAACTGTGTTTTCAAAATTTTCTTTCGTTTTTTTTCTATATCTGACATTTTGAAAATATTCTAAATTCTCGATTTTACTAATACTTTAAACACAACAATAGTAGCAATAAGGAAATCTCAAATGCAATTAAAATGCGTTAGCTATTTCACTCACCTCGAACATTGTATGCATTCCGTAAGTCTTGAGAATTCTAAACCGAAATTGCATTATCAACTCCATTACGGACACGTAGAATTCTTATTCACAAGCGCGGGTTTTTCTCGAAGCTCCGGCGTATGACGACCAAATAATGTAGCGAAGCGGTATCTTAACTTTAAATTAATAAACCTAAGAATACATCACTGCGAGTGGACTGTAAATTTAACCTTTATTCACGGTTTGAACTTTCGAACACAACACAGCACAAAGTAAAACGACAGAGTTACAATTAGCGGTTTTTAAGAATGCAAGAACAAAATGCGAACTACGCATACAATCTGCGCATTGCGAAATAATATCTCACAGACAGGCAGAGAGCTCTGGTGGCTGAAACATTTGTATATTTATTTATAACTCATAGTTTTAATGTTCAAAATTTCATATGCTATAAAGTCAAAATTTTTATGAGAAAGTCATGAACTATGATAGGCCATAGTTAAAGTTTGTACACTATGTTCTGGATGTTTTCATGTCTTTTCTCATACTTTTGCTTTACTCCTGTACTAATGCTTTTCTCACCCCAGCCTCTCTTTTTGATGGGGGGGGGGGGGAGATGTAAAATATAAAAAAAATACAATGGCTTTGCTCTTTGCGAACCAGCAACCTTTAATTAATTTTCTGCAATTCAGGATCATCCCCTAACCCAGTACCTTCTAGAACATTCGCACCTATTACATAACCTCCTCATATAAATGCTGCGTCATAAGATTTTCTACATTTTTCTAGAAGCTACTTTGTTACATAACCTTTCATGTAAATGCTGCATCATAAGTTCTCCTACACAGATGCCTTCTCGCCTTCGTCCTGCTAACGCTTCCGCTATGCTCCTCTTTCTTTGTTAGAACGTTATGACGTATTAAAGTTTAAAGTCAGTCATATCTAATAGTTCAATTACTGAATAAGTTATTTGATTAACTTCATCTGGAAAAAGTCATCTGCTCTAAATTAAAATAAAGATATGCTTGCTGTTGAGTCCTGAGTCGTCATTTTTCTCCGTCCTTCAATCATCCCAGCTTCGTCAACCATCTGCCAGAACGTGTAATGGAATAGCCTCACCATTCGCCCACAATGTGTTGGAATAACTGAAAACATTACATATATACCATAGATGTTTTGGTGTATATATATATATCATATAATTTAAATAATTTTTCTTTGAACAATTGAAGTAGGTGTACGATGTTCAAATCAATTAATTATTTATTGATTAATCTAAGAATATGTCTACATCTTTTATTTTTCAGTGGGCTTATTTCCATGTGAGCATATATCTATGTGAGCTTTTTTCCATGTGAGCATATTTCTAAGTGAGCATTTTTCCATGTGAGCTTTTTTCTATGTGGGCATATTTCTGTGTGGGCTTTTTTCCTGTGAGCATTTTTACTATGGGTTTTTTTTTCCTGTGGGCATTTTTCCAGTCACTGATTATCTAGTACAATCACATTTATGTAATACTTTGTCTTAAATATTTAGCATAATGAAATGTTCCATGATAAACAGTGAAAATTAGATACAGAACTTATTCCATGGCCTTCAGTAATAAATTATAGAACTTTTTTTTTAATAAATTGAGATTTTTAATTTTTTTTTAAGTGCTATGCAATGTATACTTAAGTCAGGGCATTTTCTAGAAAACCTTATTACAAGAATCATAAATTTTATATCTTTTTTTTTTTTTTTTTTTTCTGTTATTCTTAGAATGAACTATTGACAGCCCCATGCAGCATATCTGGAACAATTTCTTAATAACTTTCTTAAAGTACTCTATTATATTTTAAAGCCAGAGATATGTTAAAACAGGATACAATATACAATAGCAAATGATCAAATACTCACTCTGTATAATCACCATAAGTGGCTTGAATGACTAATGCAGCAAGTTGAAATATAATTTCACTATCAACTTCTAATTCTCCCTGAAAATAAATAGTGCTTGAGTAAAATAATAACTCCTGGATAGCATATAACTATTTTAACACGGAATGCAAACTAACTTATTCAGAAATTTCAAAATAATTTGCTATGAAAAATCCTACTATTTAGCTCAGTAGCTATCAAAAAAGAACAATTACGAAAATTACTGGTAATGTAAACCAAAATCTAACAAGAAAGGTCCGCTAATCCTAAGCACAAGATCAGTTTCAGAAAATACAACTGATACTGTACTTTAAAAAAAAAAATGAATAAATAAAAATTTAAGAAAAGGATATCATTTAAAATAAATTTATTTACGCGTATTAACGCAACCACCTTGGCGTAAATTCGTGATTTTTTACAAATTTAAAAGAATGAATGATGGAATAAGTCATCATTTAATTCAATTGCAACTTAATTATTACTCACATAAATATAATTACATAGATATTTTAATTCGGTATTTATTCCAAAAGATTATACAATAAAACTACTTACAACTTTTTTTAATTATATTATTATTTCTTTTGTTCTGGTGGAAATTAAGCGGCTAGCTTAATTACCTGAAAAACAATTGTTCTTGTTAGCGATTTTGCAGCAAAAACACGGTATTCCTGCGGAAATTTCACCGCTATTTCTTCCAAAACCGGCAAATTCCACATGCGCATATTTTGAAACTCAGTTTAATATCTCCCCCCCCCAATCATGATTTGCTATAAAAATCGTTCAAATTTAGAACACAACATAATACGCATACGAAAATAAGATATCGGTTGATGGAACAATCGTTATAAGTATGGGTTACCAGAGTTTGGCACTTACTGAAAAATTTGGCGAATTCTATTAAGGTGGTTACGTCAACACGTAAGTACCAAAATAAACGTACTTTTCGGTTAAGCACCTGCTATGCTTTCTGGCGCCTGTGAAAGAGACGCCAAACACATGCTGAGACCAAATGATAGCCCACCCTGGGTACCAAACCATTTGCGTGTGTCCGTCTGTTTAATTTAAAACCGCCAATATGCGTGGCAGGTACATAGAAAAGCACCTAATAAACTGCTAAATGCCTACAGAAATTCCATAAAAATTATTAAACGTGAAGTTTTTGATCGTCAAAGGCGAATGTTTTGACTTTCTTTTAAGGTAATATATTTCTAAACAATCAAAATCGTATACCACTCTTTTTTTCCCCCATTGCTTATGTTAATCAATTTTATAATATTCTAAAAGATGCAAACAATTTCACAGCTTTATATAAATCGCTTCCTCAATTTTCACCTAATTTACAGATTGAAATGAGTCATGAGATTGTTTACTTATTGTTCACGCAATTATTACTTATTTTCTACTTGAATGTGTTTACATAAGAGCAAATTGTTGTTGCAATCGATTCGCATTTGATACGCAAACTGCAATCACGCAAAGACCAATTTCTTACAATTCTCATTGATATTTTATTTAATTCGGTATATATAACCGTTCTAAAATATATTACTACTTTGATCATTTCTTCATTGTACCTCACATTTATTATAATATTAAATCCAGAATTGGGGAATTAATTATCGTATAAAACTTGTATCATTCGCACAGCAAAAATCTTCACCATGAAACAACTTCCTAAAAAAGTTGATTTTCAAAATTTCGCTGAACTACTGCTCAAACTTTAAATTTATTGCTTTTAAGTTTATTTAAATTACATTCGTATTACAAAAAGCCCACGCATCTTTTTACGAGAATTATTTTAAAAGTATGAGATATGACGGGAAACAAATATGTCGCTAAGCTTAACTAATAAATAAATGAAAATGAATGACACTTATACACGAATATGCACCCAATGTACAATGTTTATTATTTTATATTTTCATTTCGAAAAACGATCATCTAGAGATTCAGATGATATCTTGAAACTCTAGAAAATCGTCAAATATTGGTATAGTTCACATAATTTTATTAACTTACGGGTGTTTTAGATTCCCCTTCCCCCGCAAAAACGAGCAAATTCGTATGTATTTGTTGTAGAAATACTGAGTGTTCAAAATTAGCAGATTTTCCTGATAAGCTAACACTTGTATAATCAAAGCACTTACGCTTAAGAAAAACATTTTCAACTTTCTTTGCTTTAAATAGTGTCCAATTTATTTTCACAATACAGGGTTCGTTTAATTTCCTAACTCATAATAAAAGTGGAGTTAATAAAGAACCTACAAAGTGAAATTAACTTGAAAAACTAGAATTTAAAATACTTTTTCCAATACAGGGCAATCCATTAAAATAACCACAGTAAAATGTATTTTAAATGCAACCTGTTTTCACTCAATTTAGCAGAAACGATATCTGCAGTTACTTATGTCAACTAGAAATATAACTACAAAATTTGAAAAAAAGTTGTGTACCTTTTCATAACTGAATAGAACTGCATCAAATTCTTCCTTAAATGAACTACGTAAGTTTATTTTTAACTTAAATTTGGCTTAAAATTAATATGTATCAAATCAATTTCAATATAACACGAACATTACTGTAAATATTACCATTTGACCAATCAAAAATCATGAGAATAAATATGCAAACACGTTCGGTTAGTTACTTCAATGAATACGGAAAAGCATGGACAACTATCTGCCTAAGGGAAAGGATGGCTTCGTGGAATACTTTTAACTCGTTTTCATATACACATGGAACCCGCGTAAACCACCCAATGCGACCAGATCGTTCGCCTGGGTTCGAACCCGAATTAACTACCAACAATCGGCGATGAAAGCCACTTGGACACTGGTGGGACTTCACATGCAAATCGGAGCGATTTATTTACAAAATAAAATAGATATGCGTTATCTATGCGAGACCCCCCCCCTCCCTAAATACGTTCAAAAAATCTGAATCAAGATTTGGCATGCCTAGGTTCGAACCCGAATTAACTACCAGCAATCGGCGATGAAAGCCACTTGGACACTGGTGGGACTTCACATGCAATTCGGAGCGATTTATTTACAAAATAAAATAGAGATATGCGTTATCTATGCGAGACCCCCCCCTCCCTAAATACGTTCAAAAAATCTGAATCAAGATTTGGCATGCCTAGGTTCGAACCCGAATTAACTACCAGCAATCGGCGATGAAAGCCACTTGGACACTGGTGGGACTTCACATGCAATTCGGAGCGATTTATTTACAAAATAAAATAGATATGCGTTATCTATGCGAGACCCCCCCTCCCTAAATACGTTCAAAAAATCTGAATCAAGATTTGGCATGCCTAGGTTCGAACCCGAATTAACTACCAGCAATCGGCGATGAAAGCCACTTGGACACTGGTGGGACTTCACATGCAATTCGGAGCGATTTATTTACAAAATAAAATAGATATGCGTTATCTATGCGAGACCCCCCCCCCTCCCCTAAATACGTTCAAAAAATCTGAATCAAGATTTGGCATGCCTAGGTTCGAACCCGAATTAACTACCAGCAATCGGCGATGAAAGCCACTTGGACACTGGTGGGACTTCACATGCAATTCGGAGCGATTTATTTACAAAATAAAATAGATATGCGTTATCTATGCGAGACCCCCCCCCCTCCCTAAATACGTTCAAAAAATCTGAATCAAGATTTGGCATGCCTAGGTTCGAACCCGAATTAACTACCAGCAATCGGCGATGAAAGCCACTTGGACACTGGTGGGACTTCACATGCAATTCGGAGCGATTTATTTACAAAATAAAATAGATATGCGTTATCTATGCGAGACCCCCCCCTCCCTAAATACGTTCAAAAAATCTGAATCAAGATTTGGCATGCCTAGGTTCGAACCCGAATTAACTACCAGCAATCGGCGATGAAAGCCACTTGGACACTGGTGGGACTTCACATGCAATGCGGAGCGATTTATTTACAAAATAAAATAGATATGCGTTATCTATGCGAGACCCCCCCCCTCCCTAAATACGTTCAAAAAATCTGAATCAAGATTTGCATGCCTAGGTTCGAACCCGAATTAACTACCAGCAATCGGCGATGAAAGCCACTTGGACACTGGTGGGACTTCACATGCAATTCGGAGCGATTTATTTACAAAATAAAATAGATATGCGTTATCTATGCGAGACCCCCCCTCCCTAAATACGTTCAAAAAATCTGAATCAAGATTTGGCATGCCTAGGTTCGAACCCGAATTAACTACCAGCAATCGGCGATGAAAGCCACTTGGACACTGGTGGGACTTCACATGCAATTCGGAGCGATTTATTTACAAAATAAAATAGATATGCGTTATCTATGCGAGACCCCCCCCCCTCCCTAAATACGTTCAAAAAATCTGAATCAAGATTTGGCATGCCTAGGTTCGAACCCGAATTAAACTACCAGCAATCGGCGATGAAAGCCACTTGGACACTGGTGGGACTTCACATGCAATGCGGAGCGATTTATTTACAAAATAAAATAGATATGCGTTATCTATGCGAGACCCCCCCCTCCCTAAATACGTTCAAAAAATCTGAATCAAGATTTCGCATGCCTAGGTTCGAACCCGAATTAACTACCAGCAATCGGCGATGAAAGCCACTTGGACACTGGTGGGACTTCACATGCAATTCGGAGCGATTTATTTACAAAATAAAATAGATATGCGTTATCTATGCGAGACCCCCCCTCCCTAAATACGTTCAAAAAATCTGAATCAAGATTTGGCATGCCTAGGTTCGAACCCGAATTAACTACCAGCAATCGGCGATGAAAGCCACTTGGACACTGGTGGGACTTCACATGCAATTCGGAGCGATTTATTTACAAAATAAAATAGATATGCGTTATCTATGCGAGACCCCCCCCCTCCTAAATACGTTCAAAAAAAATCTGAATCAAGATTTGGCATGCCTAGGTTCGAACCCGAATTAACTACCAGCAATCGGCGATGAAAGCCACTTGGACACTGGTGGGACTTCACATGCAATTCGGAGCGATTTATTTACAAAATAAAATAGATATGCGTTATCTA